AATTTAAAATATACAGTTTTACATTAAAAAACAAAATGATATAAAATATAATATAAATTTATGACACAGACAAACTAAATTCTGTAGCAATCTGAACGTGATTCAGTTCCAGAATGGATTTTTGACATTCTCTCAGTCATACTGAATTTGAAGGAGTAAAACGCACAAGCCAACCTGGAAAGGCCTCCAGGCATCACGTTACCTTTGGTTATGGTTTTCTGGGACCCCTTCTTCTTGTGTTGCTCTGGATTAGTGAACTTTAGGTCAGCATATGTCACTTCTTCAGCCATTTCTGGCAAGCATTTCGCAACGAACTGGAGCAGTGCTTGCTTTTTCAAAAAAGAATACACCCAGACTAGTCTTGTATGGTCATGAGACAATGATGCATACACAGAAGCTGTGACTTGTATGACACAGTCTTCTCTTCACCACAAAAAAAAGAGCTAAAATAAAAAGTAGACAGTGGGGAGGGTGTGTGCATTCCACTATGCAAAAAGATGGAGGCGTGTTAAATGCCCCTTGCAAAAGGTCAGGAAGGAAGACGGAGGAACTACCAACTACTTTCCGTGCTGAAATAACCGGGGCAATTCATAGCTAGCATCGAGTACTGGGGCTGGGTGATGATCAACTGAGGTACAATTTGCTGAACCAACTGGCATGTTCCAGAGCAAAATTCCATTATTTAAATTTGTAGTCTTTACCATTGGCCATAATAGCCTTCTTTCAAGTACTGATAGCCTGTACTATGATATCTTGGTTCTTCTACTGCACGCTTTCAGTTTGACTGAAAGAAATAATGGGCAATGTGTGCTGAAAGCTAGAGATTCATGTTTGGTCACCCATATCATATAAATAAATTTCCAGCGTTTCCTGCATTTTGCAACTGAAAGTTGGATAAGTGAACTGAAACCCTGCAAAGTGCAATTACTGTGTACAGAGAAAGGGGGCTGAGGGTGTGATCAGACTGCTGGAAAAGCAGGTGTCCAATCACATTGGGAATACAGTGAATCCTCAATTTATGGAATTAATCCGTATTGGAACAGTGACTGCAGGTCGAAAAGTCTGTAGGTTGAGGCTCCATTGACCTATAATGCATTGAAAACCAATTAATCCGTAACCGGCCATTTTTGTTCCATTTTGGTTTTTCCCCGGTCTGTAGGTCAATTCTCCGGCTGCAAGTCGAACCTAAATTTTGCGCCAGAAAAGTCTGTAACTCGAAAAGTCTTTAAGTGGAGCTGTCTGTAAGTCGAGGGTCCACTGTCATTGCTTTGCAGGTAGTGTTTACCCTTGAGACAACACTTATGTTTGCTGGGGAATCACTTCCACCCGGTCTTACAGCTGGGATGAAAAGGCTCTGCTTGAGCATGGATCAGGGCCAGGCTGGAGCACAATTCCCTGGGATGAACCCTGGGAAACAAAGTGAACCCAACTGCTCCACAAGCAATTCAAAATATTTCTCTGTGTGGTCACATCCTGACTCCCTGAAAAAATATTTTACATGACTGTAGCTGAGGGTGCTGTCCCTTGAGTGAGATCTGTGATGGCCTTTCACCTCTGCGAGGAACCATCTCATGTTACCGTTGTCCAGTGATAAATATGTGTATGTCAAACCACCCTTACTAGTTCAGACATAGAATGAAGGAACACAATAGCCTCTCTCGTTCAGACACCATCTCATGTTACCCATCGTCCAGTGATAAATATGTGTATGTCAGACCACCCTTACTAGTTCAGACATAGAACGAAGGAACACAATAGCCTCTCTCGTTCAGAGCCTTGCTCTTGATGACATCCTACATAGATTGTTAATGTTATTGCTGTGCTGACAAGACAGATGCTTTTTGCAAACTGTAGCAGAACATAGAGATCTAGAGGGGTTATAGAAAAACTGTTGGAATTATTGCACCTCCATGTGTTACTTTCAAAAGATTTTTTGCCGGGAGACACCTTTCTGCACTGGGGTTACTGCCAGTCAATCAAGCAGCCGCCAATTTTCCCTCTCTACCTCTGAAGTTTGAAGACAGCTATGCCTCTCTGCTTGAGAAACCTTTTCTTGCCCTTTTTCCAGTCAGACAATCTGAAGAAAGAACAACGTATTTAATCAGTCAGTTAGTCAGTCAGGAAACTCTGACTACACGAACCGAGTAAGCTCTGTTCATGTAACCCGTTAATATTTTTTTTTCCTACAGAACACAGTTTGTTTTGCTCTACAAAGGCCTGTGAGTAAACACTGAACCTTTTAATTCTTTTCTCTTACCAGTGTCTCCGAATGAATTATTGAGACAGTAAGTGCCCAGTCAAGGAGAACTAAGTAACAAGAGGTGGACTAATGAGGGGAGCCTTGAAGTTTATTCTGCTCTGTAAGTCCCTGAACCTTTATTTGCTGCGTAGTTAGGAGGTTTGTAAGTCACTGAATTCCATACTCAGCCAAGAAAAACAGGATGACCAGCCTGCTGATGTATTACATTTCAATCCTTTACCTCCTCCCAAAAGGTTGTATACCTGCCCAGCCCCCACCTACTGTGTTTTATTCTTACAACAGCCTGAGAGATAAGTTGAGCCTTAGCTCAGCTAATCATTGAATTGAACCATGCTCAGATTGCTATAGCTTTCAGTTGGACTGGCCCTTACGTGTTCTCCAGAAGAGTTTTACTGCTGATTGCAGGTCTCCCCACTCTGGATCTAATCATCTAACAAATTTCTAGAACCTCCCTCATTAAGCTCTCCTCTGTGTTTTTAAAATTAATAACAGTTGGCAGGAGGCTAGTATGAATCATGTGGGAATGGATGCGGCACCGTCCTTGAGAAAGGATGTGCTATTTTCTACTCTTTGCCTTCATGTTGTCATCTTAATCAAAGCTGCAGTACACATACCTACAGATAATACGAAAAGTGTGAAAGGATGCTGTGGGTGATATGGTTTCATTTCAAAGTACACCAAGCAAATACAAGGGAATACGGTGACAAAAATGTAGGATGGTATTAGCAGTACTTTTTTTTAAAAAAACGGCTATACATTGCTTCCTGCGTTAAAAACAGCACGTCTGTGAGTGTTTTCCTGCTGCCATTTCTGGGCTGGGAAGATAATTTTAAGAAGGAGATGAGTATTGGGAGAGTGGGTCCTAAAAGCCCTCTCCAAACGCCGCATCTGTTACTGCCTTTTACAAAACACTTCATAATTTCCTTTACGCTTCCTGTCAAGCAGTTTTTCACAACTGAATGATTCAAGGGCAGGTTCTCCTGGACTGGTGCAACATTTTCTTTACCACACTTGGCATATTATACTGGCTGAAATTGTTGTTATTCACACAGAAGTATCCTGAGAAGATTAATGGCAAGCGTCCATACAGCAGAGGATCAAAGTAGGTACATAGTATAACATACCCTCTCCTGCCCGCTTACCCACAATTCCCCCTTTCTTTTAGTCTACAAAGTAACAAAGTGCTGCACTGACAAGACATGGCCACTTCTTAAATACTGAAGCATCCTAACTGACATAGCGCTGAAGTAGTGACTGTTTTTTAAAGTTTTAAAACAAACACATCTGTTTTAAAGATATGATGAGCTAGGGGTAGGAGTGGGAGTAAAACTGAAGCAACATACCATGTCCAACTCAAAATGTCACCCTCGATGTGATCAGGACACCACTGCCCCAAAGGACCACTAGAGGCAATCACACAGCCCAGAAAAGCAAAGCAAAACAATGCAAATGAAAGCTCTATTGGCCAAACAAAAGGGATCAAATATTTATGGAAAAGACTGTGTCTAACTCACGATTAGGTTTACATTGTGTGATTGATGATAGAAAGATCAAAAATTAGTAGTAAGAACTCTAGCACAAATGGTGGATCAAATATCTGTCTCGTACCCTGAACACAGTCTTGACTACGAAAATAAAACTTTTCCCTTCTCTTCCAGGTCTCGCTCCATCTCTTCTTAAAGATACCTGTGATGGAGCCGTACTACCAATACATGTTCAATAAATGTTTTAGTATACTTTAATTTTTTGTTTGTTTGTCTAATAAATTGTAGTGCTGTTTATTATATTTTATATGCCTTTTTAAAATGTTATACATTGTTTTGTAAATAAATAAATAAATAAATACATACATACATACATACATACATACATACATACATACATACATACATACATACATACATACATACATACATAGTAGGCCAAAGCAGACTTGCCTAAACAGGAACTCTCTCTCCTGTAAATCTAAAATCCTCATAGTTGTAGCTAGTGGTTCCAGCAGTCAGCCAGCCCGCAGAGGTTATTAGGCAGGGCAGGAAAGGAAGAGTCAAAACACCCCAGTCCAGGGGCCTTTATTTACCACTTTTGTTTATTTCCCATTTCTCAAGAAGATTTATATATCACTCGTCCGCAGAGCTTCAAGTTTACAAAATGCTTTATCCAATTCTGATTATGAACATTCAGTGTGAAATTAAGAGTGTTAACAGGGCCCTAAATGCAAGGGAAACCGTTTTTCGCAATTCTCTGCTTTTTCTACCAAATTCAGAATGCAGGTCTCCTTCTTGCGAAATCTTGAATAAATCTCAAATACATACATCAGAGTAATATGAAATTGCCTTTTTAAGCTGCTTCTGTACGCGGCATAATGACAGCATGTGCAATTCATGAACAACAAATTATGCGTATGCAGTACCTTCCGAATTGTTTCCATCCTCTGGTTTCCATGTTGAAGGGGGAAAGAGTAACTGGGAATGACTCGGTGCTGCAAGCACTTCATAAGAGATCAGCAGGACATGAATAGCATGATTTCCACTGCCTTCTGGAAGAACAACAAGAAGTAAATCACATTAACAGTGCAATCCAAATCAAAGATGTGCTTACTGTATGGGGAGGGGGAGAATAGGCAGAATCCTTTTCTCCTGTCAGAAAACTCCTTAGGCCAACAGCAGTGCTCTTAGAACTGCAGAGTGGGAAGGGACCCCACAGATCATCGACTCCAGCCCTTGTCAAGGAGGCACCATTGGGGAATTGAACACCCAACCTCTGGCTCCATTGGGGAATTGACCACCCAACCTCTGGCTCCGTAGACAGAGGTACCTAAACTACTGAGCTTCAGCACAGCATCTGTTGGCCTAATATATGCTCAGATGGCTTGCAGACCTCTTGAGTAGTTAGGCCTGCCCTTCAGTCCCAATAAAACTTCATAAAATTAATAAAGAGATAGCAGATATGTGTTGAAGATAGGGTGGCTCAAAAGGATCTTTAGAGCATATGTGTCAAATCATTCTGGCACGAAGTACTGTAATAGACTGATTTTTAAAAACAACAATAACAACAACAACTATTCAACACTCCTTCCAAGTCCTGAGGTTCCTAAAGGCTTCCCCCTGCAGGGCAAAAGGGCGGCCTAGCGGGTGTCATAACCCGAATGGGGCCAATAGGAAGTTTTGAGTTAATTTATATTAAATATTCCCTTTGCTGAATGATGACACAGTGTAACTTCAGGCCAACAGGATTTTGGCTATTGTATAAAAATACTCAGTTGAGGATTTGGTTACACATCAGAGTTCATCTGGATTTGCATTGGATTTAGCATGTTTGAAAGTGATTTAAAAATAGCCGTTTACACGACGTATAGCTAAGTGCGCTTTTTAAAAAAAGGGGGAAACATGATTTCTTGTTCAGAAAGTGAACATACTTTGAACATGTGTTGGGGGCTTGCTTATTTTAATTCAATTATGAACATGATTTATTTTGAATCATTTTTGCATGTGTGCTCGCTTGCTTAAATTCTGTCTGTGGGATTTGTCAAGTATTGGATGCCAGGGTCACAGGTTTCGGGCTGCAGAGTAACCTTGTAATCTTGTTACATATTTTCCCCCTATAGTTAACACTGGTCAAACTGGCTATGCTGATTTTAAAAAAAATTAAAACATTTTAAAATATATATATTAAATTCACACCAAAGCAGAAGTATTTGGCTTTTGTCCCTGTTGCTCATGTAACCTCAATGTGAGAATCAGCCAGTGCGATGGGGAGCAGGCTCAGGTAAAAAAAATGCAAAAGCAGATCCAAGACTATGTGCCAGCAACCAGAGCATCTGCCCCACGGTGCCAATTTTAAAAAATGTTTAAAAGCCTGTGTAGCCCCCTGAACCAATATACCACACATCTCACACCTAGATTAAAAGTTGTCTGAAGAGGATGTACACACCCTGATCACCATAATCACACAATTTCCTCAAAAGGACAAAAAGCTGATCCCACAGCTACAAGTACTCAGCTATCCCACACACTACAACGGAACACAGAGTTCTGTCCGTTGAAGATGCTGGCCATAGAGACTAGTGAAATGTTAGGAAGAAAAACCTTTGGAACACAGCCAAACAGCCTGTAAAACCTACAACAACAATCAGATCCCGGCCATGAAAGCCTTCGAGAACACAGGATGTACACACTTCACCCAAAATTACGTGACTACCATGTGACTTTTAACCAACTTCTGAAACTGTGGTTGAACTTGATTTATTTCAATAGAGCAATTGTGTGATGAGTTTGGCTATCAAAAGATTAGGTACACAAACTTCTAACATTGCCCACATCAGAAACAACTGAAGGTGGTAGAGGCCTCTTTAAAAAAGAAAAAGATACTCCCACAAATCTATGGTTGCACACATGTGCTATTTCTAGGGATCCATTTGTTCTGCTTGCTGCCTTTAAAAACCCTGGCAAAGTAATGATTCACCAGCTTAATTGCTGAGATAACATTGTTCTTACAGGGGAAAAACAAGCCCTTTTAGATTCAACACTGGCCATCCTTCTGTAGACATAAGCATTACATGCCCCAAGAGAAGGAGCTATAAGCACTAATATTAATAATATTAATATCTGTCCAAAACTCACAAAGTATGGGGTCAATGCATTCTATATCTCAGATAGTGAGTGGCATTTATATGAATATGTACATGCTCAGCTTGTATATATGCATATAGGATAGGCTGGGATGTAATAGGTTATACATGAGGGAAATAGCAGGTAATTTAGAGATGCTGTTAATTTAACAGCTTGAGGGAGAATAGACATAGTTCTGGAAGCAGAAAAACATTAAGGGGGAAAGGGTGGCGGCAGGCTGTGTGGGGACCAACCACTGAAACAGGAGTGGATTGCTATAGATTAACTTTTACGATACCCCTTAGCAATCTGGCAGAAGGGAGACTGTGTGGAGTTAGCAGAGCAGTGGGAAAGACTTCCTGAGGGATTTTTGCAAATATTGCCTTCTGTTCCTGAAAGACCGTGTCATTTGCACAAGGCCGGGGAGTAAGTACAGGTGGAGGAAAAGGAAGAATGGAGCTCTCACCCCAGGTAAGCCTCACTGTCCATCCTAAATTTCTGAAGACTTTCCTAGATTCTCCAGAAGAAACGGCTGGGAGGGAAATTCCTGCTGCTCAGGAAGAGAGACTGGAAGCACTTTTAAATTTCTGTCCAACATTAGTATTTTTTTTTCCACACTGAGTTTCTGAGGTAAATAGTAGTAGACACTGACAAAGTCCATGCACTGTGTTCATACATTTGTGCAAATCTGGATATATCTGGCCACTTTCAGGGAGGAACATACTGGGGAGGGGGGGAGGGAAGAAAGCCTGGGATGTTTATGGGACAAGAAAGAATCAAAAGTGACGAGAAACTGTTCAATGTGACATTCCAAAACATTTTTTTTCCTGCCCACTACGCAGGCTTGAACTCTGTGCATGATAACCGTGTGTCTGGCAAACTGAGAAAGCATCACATACTGTATGCTGATGGGAAAGTGTACCCGAGTTCTGATCATTTCGATTTTGACATGTCTCTCTCAGGTAAGGCGTACTAGATTTCTTGCACAGACTAGCAAGTACTTGAAGGAAAGTGGAAAACCAACGGGAAATGTGAGTTGAGAAATGTGATTTTTACATTGACATGTACCATAAACGTAATCATAACATGTGAGATGTCATTGCAGAAAGGACTCAGATGTTAAGAGAAAATTTAGAAAGCATATGTACTAGTCATGCAGAGGAGCTAGGGGGGTAAAATATTTGACTTAATGGTAATGGTGGTGAGAAAACAATTATTAATATCTTTTGGGAGAAAAGGTAAAGACTTGAAAAAGGGGTGGGTGGAAGGTGGGAGCATAGGAACGGTGTGCACCACTTTGACTCCGTTTTTTTTGAAGATTCCTCAGGTGAAACTGCAGCAGAGCTGTATGAACACTGACCAGTGAGTACTTACATCAATTTTAACACTTTTAGAAGAGTAAAATACTAGAGAGAAATGGCGGTGAACAGGTTTTTTTGGTGGGATGTGCTCAATTTCGGTTGCAGATAAATTGGAAAAGCTGGTTGGGTAGCTCAGTGGTTAAGGTATCTGGCTGTGGAGCCAGAGGTTGGTAGTTTAATTCCCCACCGAACCTCCTAAAAAAAAAGAGACAGCCAATGTAGCCATGGGCAAGCTGCACAGTCCCAGGGACCCCCCCCCCCAGAACAAGGGAATGTGAAACCCCTTCTAAGTACTATCTATCTGGAAAACCCTAAAAAGGGTCACTATAAATTGACTTGATGGCATGTAAAATCATAATTGACTTGGACGGGGCTTTGTAGGAGAGTCGGGAGCAACAGACTGGATCCCCACCGGCCAATCAGGGCCAGTTTAGGGATCTCTAGCAGCTGTCCCTCCTCGCTCCCCAGATCACGTGGATCCTGCCATGGCTATTCTGGTGCCCCAAACCCAAGGTGCGACCTCCTCAGCAGCACCTAGGGGTGCCCAGATAAGTCTGCATCCTCATTTTACCATCTAGCCTAATGGCTTTTATTTATAAACCCCTTTGTTTATAAGATCCAGCTTGTGGTTTTTAATTTTGCTGGAAAGTAAGATAGGAAGGTATGGAATAAATCGATAACACCACCAGCCGAACTTTCTTATCCCCTCAAATGCAATTTTTTTAAAAATTTCTCACTGGACTCATTCAATGACTCAGGTGCCAGTGGTCAAGTCTGGAGAAATCCAAGTGAAGAGAAATAATGGGATGATACTCATGTTATGTGGAAACCAGTATTTCATTTCTGACATTAACATTTTCTCAAATTAACATTTCCTCCCCTCAAAGCTGCACAAGTATAAGTGGGATCCATCTCTGGTACATTTGGTAAGTACTTTGAGGACATTCTATGAGAGTAACTGTGTCACTTATGATGTTTAGCATGGGAAATTATCTCAATAAGTCCAGGCTTGTCCGGGATCAGTCCTGGAACCTGCTGTTTTTGATAGCAAGGGACAGGGTTCAGCCAAAAAAACATGTAATTCAATAATGAGTGCTCTTTCTTCTTCTTCTTTGACATTAGAAGTCTTCACAATTGATTTATAAATTTTATTTACATACAAAAAGAACAAAAAACATAAAGCAATGGGTCACCCCTCACCCCAGGTGAGAATAGAATACATTAATCCATTAATATAACACATTTTTTTCTTTTACAACATTCCATTCATCTTTTAATTTAAATGACCCCTTATCCTTTCCAGAAGTACAAATATTCTTGCCGTGGCTTTTGCCCTTTTCCTTTATTCAATACAACATTATCTCATTAAATCTATTAATCCTGATCTCTTCTTTTTTAAACTTAATTTCAGATGTCAATTTATCATTAATTGAGATTTCATGGTACTATTTGCGTGTCTGAAAAATCAAATTCTTCCTTTTTTTACTATAAGTAATCAAGCAGCTGTTATATTTATAATCATTTCTTTTTTAGGATTATTTATGGCAGTAATAATGCTGTTCTTGATGTTTCCATCTTAACTTCCAATATTTCTGTAATTTCTTTAAAAACTACCCTCCAAACCATTTGTATTACTTCACAATCCCACCATAAATGCAAGTACTGTATGTACCCAGTTCTTTATTACATTTCCAGCACATCTTGGAGTATTTAGAATCCATTAGAATCTATTTTATTTTATTTTATTTTATTTAGTTTGATCAGGGTTAAGTTCCATCTCCACATTGTTTTACAACCATTTTCTTTTATTCTGACTAACATATTTTTAAAAACCCTTCTAATCCATATATATTTTCCATTCCTCTTTATCTATTTTTCCTCTAAATCACCTCCATATTACTTAACCCTCCTAACTGATCTGCATCTTCTGTCAATATTCTATAGATATTACCAATTCTCCCTTTTCTCTTTTTTCCATTCATCTCATTCTCAATATTCTTTACAATATGTTCAGACTTTGTCAATTGTCTGTCCTTTAGTTACATTTTTCCTCCTCCTTTCAACCATAGTTACAGTTGTATTAAATTTAACCAATTTAATTTTTCATCTGCAAAAAATCTCTTAATTGATCCTTATTTCTGATTTTATCCTTCCAATCCTCCTATTTATGCATCTGTTTTCTTTTTAATTTGTTAATCAACTCCTTGACCCACATCTTGGAAAATGCTCTAACTCAACTGCTTGTGTTAAAGGGGAGATTCCTGGACATAAAACCTGCCTCCATTCATTTCAGATAGCAAGGATTCCGAATCCTTTTTTAATGATTCTTTCAATGTTCTTTTAATACCAATATGTCTCTTATGGTGACCCAATTCGTATAATCCCTGTAATTCAATGTCACTCCATATTAATTCAGTACCTTGTACTATAATATCCCGAATGATTTTCAATTGATTCGCTCCATAATAATTAGCAATATTTGGTAATCCCAATTCTTCTTTTTTTGCTGACAGATACAAAATCTTTTTGTTTATCCTAGCTTTCTTTCCTCCAATACATAATTCATTTATTATCTCTTGCATTTCTTTTAATTTCAGTTCTGAAAACAAAGGGAATCATTCAAAACAAAACAAAAGTTAAATTCTGGTAATATTTTCATTTTGCAAAGGACAATCCGCAAAACCAGGATAACTTCAGTCTTTTATAGTACTCTAACTTACTTTTTAATTCTTTCTTTATTCTTTCCAAGTTTACTTTCTTCAAATCTTGTATATTTTTTGTGAGATCTATACCCAAATATCTGATATTTTAGTCACTTTGAATTCAAATTTATCTTTCATTTTTTTCTACTTACTCTCTAGAATAATATATAATTACAATATATAATCAACATCATTTCAGATTTGTTCCAATTTATTAATAATCCACTTAATCCCCCACATTCCTTTACATGTATTTGGATTCTTCCTATAACTCCTTCTGGATTTTCTACCATCAGCAAAGTGTGATCTCCAAATAAACTTATTTTAGTTTTATGCTGAAATCTAATTCCTTTAATTAAATAATCTCTACTTATGGTATTGGCCAATACTTCCATTATTAAAAAAAATATTGGGGATAGAGGACATCCTTGTCTGGTTCCCCAACTTAGGTTTATTATATTAGTGACACCATTATTTACCATTACCATTGCTTTATTTCCTGAATATAAATTTCTAATGAGTGTAGTAAATTAATTAAAGACATCTATCTGAAGGAGGTATAGAAGAGCAGTAGGATCCCCTTATCCTCTTTATCCATTGGATCACTCTCT